ACGGGCTTCCTGGGGCTGCAGCTCCCGGCGCAGTTCCTCATTCTGCTCGCACTCGAGCCTCAGGCTCGGTGGAGCTGGGCACCAGGGTGCTGGTGGCAGCGCTGAGGGGCCCCCACTGCCTCGTCATGGCATCTGCTCTGACCGTTCTCCTCCTCAGTGAGTATCGGAGACAGTCAGGGTGTGTGCCCATGGGGGCAATTTGATACCTGGGCGTGTGTCTATGGATGGGGATCTGAGAGCAGGGTGTGTGTCCATGGCAGGGCAGATGGCAGACCTGAGCCCAGGGTGTAGGATCCAGTTGCTCTGGGATCTGGTCCATAATGACCCATCTCCTTTCCAGGCTGCTGGCTGGCCGGGCGGAGCGGGGTGTCTGGAGGTGAGTATCTGTGGGCAATGGGGCAGCTGGGGGAATTTCCACATTAAGGATGAGGACGTGGGTCGGGGGTGAGGGGAGCAGATCCCACAAAGGGATGATCCTGTCAGACCTCTGCTCCCTCCCACACCCAGAGGTGGGGACTGAGACCTCGCCCCACTCATTACAGGGATGGGCACCACACAGGGTGAATTCACATGCACTCAAAGCTTTGGCCCCCCAGGAAATACAGAGTGAAGGCACCAGCCACCCCACAGCGCCCCCGAACTGTGCCCGGGGAGCTGGCAGGATCCCGGGGAATGGGTCAGGTAGAGCAGGGCTGTAAGACGTGGACACGCAGAGGGACTGGAGCAAGGCACCATTGTGTCTCACCCTCGACTTGCTGCACCCGCGCGTGTCACTGCTTTGCTCGTGGGTCCGGCTCAGCCCGACCCGGCGTTCGGAACTTCCCCTGAACAGCTTTGGAAATATCCCGTCCCCAAAGGGCACCATGCAGAATAAGGGTGATTCTGGTCTCAACCCCCTGGGCTCAATCCGGAGTCACTCCTGGTTGCAGTGGGGACAGGGCTGAATTGACCCTGGAGAACTGATTGGAAATCTCCTTTCCCCCACCTGTCTCTCACCCCGGCTGTGAGCCGTGGGGCCGGGCCACACCCCAGGGACGGGCGGGGGGTAAAACGCTGGAGCGACAGATGGGCAGAGGATTGAGTCAGATGGACGCGGTTTGTGTCACCCCCACTTACTGCCTGTTT